CCACCCACTTAAATCATGTTCACATGGATAGGAAACTAAATACATTTGCACACATCTTGTGTCCATATCTTTCTGTTTTGGTGGTCATGCCACAACCGTGCATGCATGCACGAGTCATGGTGAGATATCTGGATTAAGGGGTTGTTTTTTCTTTGCACAGCATGAAAGAAAGGCCAAATGAATTGGCTGTGATTTTAGTATTTTTTAGCAGAGGTCAATCATTTGTACGGCCCTCGGAGGATGTTGAAAAAATTGAAATGGCCCTTGAGAGGAAAAAGGTTCCCCACCCCTGGTGTAGACCTTTGTTTTTTTACAGTTTAAGAAGTAGACAGCACAATTGTAATTTGCTTTAAAAGTTTTTAACTTTTACTTTACCAGAAAATATATTTTATTTTATTATTTACTTTTTGAAATGTGTTGTTTTAACATTAATAATGTCCTTAAATTTGGTATAGTCAGGCATTTAGAATATTGTATGATCGCTCTTTGCTCAATATGTATCAGCCTTTCTTACTGTGTGAGGTGCATAAACTACAGATTATGAGCTTCTTATGAAAAAAACTAAATGTGAAATGATTCCTATCTTTACGGGTTTTGCCATGAGAAGCAGGTTATTCACAATTTTGGGAGAAAAAAGCCCCTTTTGTGCAGCTTCTAACAGAAGTTTTACTTTACTTGTATCCAAAATATGAAAAAGGTTAACTCTGTACACAGAAAGCATCCACTCCATCATTCTGAGCCTTTACCTTCCCGCTCTGGTAGAGGTAGTACCACTTCAGGTTGCTGTTCTTGCAGGCGTAGCGCGTGTCTCCGAACCAGTTGACGATGTAGGTCCTGGGCAGGCCGCTGTCCTCCGCCATCTGGTCGTACTCCTCGGGGATGGGCCACTGTGTGCGGACGAAGGCCTTCTTCAGGATGTGGAGCTGCTCTGGCGTCTTCTTCATGGTCTTCCTTGCGGCGGGGGGCGTGGTCTGCCGCTCATGAGCCGAGGACGAAGGAGCAGCGGCTTTCTCGCTGTCCTCCTCGTCCTCGTCCTCTTTCGAAGGCATTTTTCGTCTCTCCGTGAACCAAGCGTCCACCTCGCGCCGCGTCAGCTTCGTCTCTGCTCGCAGCCGGCTCAGCTCCTCGTCCGAGGGCGTGTCTGATTTCTGGAAGCTGGCCTCCAGGACTTGCAGCTGCTCCGGAGTCCTTTCCTTAAACTTCTGTGGCGTGAAATCGGGGAAGGCGTGGCGGAACTTGACCCGCGGGTCTCTGGTGGACCCCGACAGGGTGGTGGCTGAAGTCGGCGAGCAGTCGCTGGCGTCGTCGCTGGAGTCGATGACGATGGTTGGGTTGTGGTCGCTGGCGTTGCTGTCGTTTTGGCTCCCGCTGTTGTTCCTTCCTGTTCGTCCTCCTGGCGCTGGCGCTCTGGTGGGCGGGGCTTCAGTAGGCAGGACGCCTTGGTGATCCTTGGAGTTCCTCTGGTTGTAGCGTGTGTCGCTGAACCACTTCTTTATGGCTCGTTTGGACAGTTTGGTGACCGCCATGAGTCGGGATATCTCTGCCTCAGTGGCAAACTGCCTCCGGCCGTAGCTGGCCTTCAGCTCCGCCAGCTGCTCCTTGGACTTCTTGGGTTTGGCGGTCGATGCGTCTGAACAGTACGCCCCGCCTGCCGCCATCTCAGTCTTTGATTCCGACGTGGACGGTTCGGCTGCTTTGGGCTGGTTGCCGGGGACGCCTGCGACGGTCAGGGTGATGGGAGATGTGACCGGCAAGGTGCTGCCGTTACTGGACACCTGAGTGAGCACGAGGCCCGTCTGGCCCACGATCTGGCAGGTCTGGAAGATGGACTGCAGGCCGTTGGTGGCTGCAGCCAGGTTGGCCGGGATGACGGTGATGGTCTGAGGAACGCTCTGCACCGTGCCGTTAAACTTCTTCCTCCTCGCCTCCTCCACCTGTGGAGCGATGGGGACCAAGAGAAAGAGATGTTACTGTTTGTCTTTACTGGGAAGGAAGACGAGCTGGACTGGCCTGTACAGAATTAGAAAAATCTAATATACGTCTAAATTCGAATGAGGATTAATTTATTTTTGAAATAAAGTGCCTGTACATTTATTTTACAATCTTAAAAAATGCATTAAGAATGAAGACGGGCCCCCACCTCCTCCGGAGTCCAGCTGACTCCGTGCTTCAGCCTCTGAGCAGAGAACCACACCTTGATCTGCTCCTCACTGAACTTGGTCTGTGAAGACAAGCCCATGATCTCCGACACCGAGGGATATGGAAACCTACCACACAAATCAGAGTGGGATCAGTATTGTTGGAGCTATATATGTTTTCTACAAACTGAGCTGTGGAAGAAGGTAAGGAAACTACGGAACGTTACAACCGTAAGCTGAATTCATCACATCGTCTTGGTGTTTTTATTTATTCATACAACCCAACTGAAAACTCTTGCTGCAGATATTTATGAGTCTAGAAATTCAAATAAAATCCTTTTTGTTAGACAGACCATTTTAATGATGTTTCCCCTATCTATTATATACTGTGACGTTTTTAAAGAAATACTATACAATTACTTATTTACAACAAACAATATTCAGACTTTTTTATGATTAACCATTACATTTTTTAAACTTTTTTCATGACTGTCTATACTTTATTTTTATTTGTATTGAAACTTCTTTTAAACAAAGTCTTTATGAAATATTATACTTTATACTTTATTGAAGACATATTATTTAATATGGAGGCATTTTTATTTAAACTATAATAGGACATTTTCTAAGAGATACTATGACTTTTGATCATTATTAGTATTTATCATACTATTAGTATTCTATAAATAATACATTCTGACTTTTTTATGATTTACCATTAAAGTTTTACTAGACAAGATACCCTTTCTCTTTTTATTACGAAATACTTTAATGGTCTTGTAATCGTTTTTACTAAAAACCATGTGCATGCCTTTTTATATAATAGTGTTCAATTTTCTTTGTCTCTATATACACTTTGCTGTAACAACATAGTTTCCCCCTTGTGGGACGAATAAACGAATTCTGCTTTAATAACATTATTTATGAAATACCAGGACTTCTATATGGCATACTATACTATGACTTTTTTATTACTTTATTGACGACATATTATACCATGACTTTTTTTTCCTTACATACAATGCTGACAATTGTGAATGAAACGCTGTCATGACTTCTAAAACGTCACCTGTTGTAGGCGCTGACCAGCAGGACGTTGTTGTCCATGGCGGAGTTGTAGGTGGGGATGCTGCTGATGGGGATGAGCAGCTGGGTCTGGGTCTGGCTGCAGTTCTGCTGGTTCTGCAGGGCCGACAGAACCTGGGCCAGCGTCCCGGGCGGAAGCACGCCCCCCGAGCCTCCTTTGATCTGCAGCACGTTGGAGCTGTTGACCAAGATGTTTTGTGGGACGGTGTGGACCTGCACCGGCGTGGAGACGGGGAAGAGGCGCGGGGCGATGGTCATGGGGGCGGGGGAAAGTGTGGGGGGCTCCTTGTTCTCGTCGTCCTCGTCGTCGCTCTCCACCTTGATGACGTCCTCGTAGGCCGCTTTGTGTGCGGCGCTGAACTTCTTGGGCTCCGGCCGGCTCCTGATCCTCATGATGGGCGTCTTGCTGAGGGCGATGCTGCTGCGGGAAGTCTCCTCCGCCTCGCCATCCTCCACCTTCACGAAGCTGCCGTCGAAGGTGAGGTCGTTGACCGTCTGCTGGATCACCGTCTCGTTGTTTCGCTTCACCATCGTCCTGGTGAAGTTTTCCTCGCCCGGGTGGAGGCGAGCGTTGTGGGCCAGCAGGGTGTCGTAACTGGAGGGAAGAGACACAGGAGTACTTGGTCACGGGACAAGTGATCACATGTCTGCAAGACTTCTAGAAACGGGTCACTATAAAATGGTCCAATGAACATTCAACATGCAGTTGATATTATTCTGTTAACCATTTTTGAACTTTCATTAATTTTGAGACCAAAGACAAAATAAAGTTTTTACAATTTAAAGAAATTATAATCTCAAGTGTAGAAATGACCTAGAACCTTGGAAACTCAGTTTAATGAGAGATGGAGAATTACTGAAATGACAGATGTCCTTGTGATAAAGACGATGTAAACTCAACTCAGTCAAGTGTTTTCATCTTATTTTATCTAAAGTATTTTGGCATTGTCTTTTTTTTCTTCTAAAAGACAAGGAATTACTACTTTAAGAACATATTATTCTCATTTTGGGGGTCATATCAGTATTTGTTCCCTCTCCTGGGACATGTCTCCATGCTCTTTATTTTTCTCATACTGCCTGTGCTGCAGCACCTCTTTTCACCCTCTGTCTGAAACCAGAGCCAAGTCTGCTCTGATTGGTTAGCTGGACGGATCTAGTTTGATTGGTCAACCAGAGATGTCCGCGCCTTAGCCTATCACGTACAATGTGTTTGAGCACCAGCCAATAGAAGCACGAGTTGTACATAGTGATGTCACTGAGGACACTATAGGAAAGGCAAAACCCAGAAAAAGGCCTCTTAAAGCTGCTGCTGCCATCAGGCATTCACATATTGGAATGTAAATGAATTGTCTTTGTGTACATCTGTTTGAATGCTTCCACGCCTTTAAAGTGACCCAGTAAGTATCTGAAATCCAATCCAATGCCTTTTTAGTATTCTACCTTTTGGTGTGGTAGTCACACTCCATGCAGACGTACGAGGTGTTGATGATGACATCGGGATGCTCCGTGTCCACGTGCATGGTGAACAGGTTGAGCTCCGACGTCTGAAAGCTGCAGTATTTGCACTCGTAGCCCCCTTCCGCCATGTTCAGGTCCTGGTAGTGGTCCGAGGCTGCGTCCTCTGCCCACTCCTCCTGCAGAGCGGGGGGCTCCGAGGAGAGGGGGGGAACGCCGTTACTGTACTCTGCGTCAGCTGCTTCTGGGACATCCTCCATGTCCTGGTCTGAGTCAACGGCTTCTCGAGGGGGCACCATGCAGGGGGTGGTGGATTTCCTCCTGCTCGACATCCTGCCGATGGGAGAGCACTGTGGGGGGCCACGCGGTAAAAATCAGTTCGAGGCCGCCTGCTGTGGCTCCATAAAGTAGGATGATGACAGTCGAAACGTTTTTCCTTTATCTTCAATTCCTGAACAGAATAAATTAAAGTGTGAGAAACAGAAAACAGAAAACATACATTTCTATTCATTGTTTGGATCAGTTATGTCCAATTCTGCCAACGTTTCTTTTAACTTATGTGTGTTCAGGCGCGGAATGGTGTGAAAATAGACATTGTTTTTGCATAACTAGCGACGTAAGTGACACACTTGAACTAAAATCACATACAAAAATATAAAATAGAAGACAATATGAGTTGAAAGTTATTTAAAATAGTGGATTTAAGGTATCAGAGTTTAGCAATCTGGTAAAAAATACATTTGCAAATATTTCTATTTTGTGCTTATTGGTTGAGATCTCTTAAAATGACTTTTTAGTGAATTGTTATAGATTAACTCTGGTATTTTGAAGCACGTTTCTGAGTGTAGTCTAATTTCCAAGTAATGGAACAATAATAGTCATCTTATCACTTTAAAAAAACCTCTTGCTACTCGTATAATCTGGCTGGACTAATATACTAATGATTAGTATATTTGTTAGAAATCTGTCAAATTGACACACACACACACACACACACACACACCTTGCTGTGTATATAAATAAACAGGAGGAAGACAGCAGCACTAGCAGCAGGGTAGCTAACGGTAGCTAGCTAGTTATGTTTACCGGGTCTCTCCACAAGTGGCAGAGGATGTGAGGCGTGTGTACCCGTTAACGGATAACAGTCTGCTGTCAGCTCAGTGTGTGTTTACCTGTTGAAACGACAGCCGTTAACCCGCATCTTACAACAAACGTGTAGCTTGCTAGCGGCTGTAGCTCTGTAGCATCTCTGGTTTGGTGTGTTGATGCGCAGTCTTCCGCCTTTTACCCAAATACACCGAGGAGCCCATCTGCTTTAGCCCGGGACACGGAGCCACTCAAACGGCTAGTTAACAAGCTAAACTACCGCCTGTTAGCTCCAGTTCCAGCTAGCAGGCTAGTGCTGCTGAAGCTCGCATTGTTTACCTGTTGCTTCGTTAATAAAAAAGACAGTTTAATAAAAAAGGCACCGATAATTCACCGAATCTGACGATGGCCATTTTTCATACCGCCGCTAGAAGCAAGCAACGGCAAAGAAACAAATCCGGATTGAACTTTTCACAATAAAAGCTCCCACTAAATTAAAGCCCAAATATAAAGAAGAAAAACATATTATTGATGCATTGAAGTGTTCATCTCGAGTTTTTTGCAACTTGAAACACAAATTAGGTAAAGAGAAGAAAGAAAATGAGAGAAAACATTGATAAGTTGATTTATAATTTGAGTTATTATAAAGTGAATTTGCGAAATAACTAGTGACATTAATGATTATTATAAAACACTTCACAAACAACATGCCTTTAATTATACAGTATAATTAAAGCCGTTTTAAAATATCTTCATATTTAAACCTCAAACTAAATATATTATATTTATTGAAAAATACCCGATTTAAATATTGTTTTACTAAAATACCCTGCTGTGCCTGTACGTTGACATTATGTGTGGATTATTTGTATTTCTATGTTATTACTGAAACAGTTCGCAAATCATTTACTTTGAAGGGCTCCATGTAAACCGGAAACGGCCTCTGGTATAGCGACGTTAGTCTGACGGATGTATCTGTACGTGATTGCGTCATAGGCCCTTTCTCACTTCTCTTATTTTTCATTTCCTCGCTCCTCGGTCTCGGGCCGTTTCTCAATCTCGAGGATACTGGCTTGGTAGTCGCGTACTTCCAAGTCACTTCCTTCAGAAACGAAGCAAGTATGCTTCCAAGCCACGGCTTCGGAAAACGAAGAAGAATGGAACAGGCTAACAAGTGTCTCTAACGGTTTCAACATAAACTGTACCGAAAATAAATACCTCACGATGTCTATCTAATTATGAACTTGCTTTACTTTCATGGAACACATTTTTGGTGAAAACATATGTAACAAAGTAACATATTTACCAACACATGTTCTACGCCACTACATACTTACATTTAAATGTGTGCTGCGTCGGTTCAGCCATTCTCCGCTAAGGT